TCTAAACGCAGCTTACAGCTCACGTGTGCGCACGTCCGGGCGTGTGTCTAAACGCAGCTTACAGCTCACGTGTGCGCACGTCCGGGCGTGTGTCTGTAAGCGGCGTGCACACCCACAGATGGGAGCACAGAGGGGACACAGGGATGTGACAAAATACGCCAGTAATGAAGTTTACTTTTCTGCTCCTTGCCTGGTCAATTTTAATTCTTTCTCCCTCCTAATTTTTAGGTAATCTGTAATTTTTCTGCTCCCCTGTGTTTCCTTTCCATTTTGTGAAAAATATCTGTGATTTCTGTTTCTACATTTCTACTATTTAAGAAAGCAAGCTAAATCACATGTGCTGCTAGAAGAAAGCCTTTTTTAAAAAGAACACTCTGGCCACTCTATCAGGAGACTCACTGGAAACACACCATTTATGAAATCAACCTGCTTGAAACTCTCTCAGGAGAACAAGAAAATCAGATTTGTGTCCTGAGGTGACGCCCCTTCTACCGACAGGACCGCTGGCCTCATGTGGGAACAACGGCTCCCGTCATGCAACAAGGGGCTTTCGCACCCGGGCCAAGGCACCTGCGCGCGTCAGGTTTCCTGAGACAGGTGTATGGACAGCAGGCGTCAGAAGACGCCACGGTTTTCAGCACACGCTGCCTGAGCAATGGAAAACGCCCGTGACACAAACGGGACGGTCTGTCTCCATTTTAGTTGAAAAACCATCTGGCATTTTTCCTCATGGATACAGAAAAGTATTTAAATATTAAAGTCTTGTCATTTTCATATCTTTATTAACATAAGCACAAAGAGTCATTCATGTAAATTATCGGCACCAAAAGCTCAGGATCCCACTCGAGTCTTCCAGCGATGGAAGCCCTGCACGCAAGCTCTTCTGGAGCCCGGCCCCGACGTGCAGCCCGCGCAGCCACACGCAGAACTTTGTGGGTCCGGTAGTGCCAAGGAGGAGGCTTGCTTAAGCCCCAGAAGTAGTCTCTGTGATCATGATATGGCTGCCAGAGTTTATGAAAACATTTCAAGGAGTGGCCTTTAAAACTAACTCATAATATGATGATGAAGAGCCAAACAGTCTCTTTAATTCAAACCATGAAGAAAACTATAATCCCTCTTCATATTATTTTTGGAAAGGTACAATAAGATGGAAATCACATATATAATAAAACATTTCTGAAAAATTATTTTGGCTATCCTTTAAAAATATCTCTTGCTGTATAAACAGATGTTAATTCATCTTCATTTTTTTTTTTTTTTGATAAATACCTTTTTAGGTTTGAATATATCACTGGCTGAGAGAATAAGGAAATATTCCCTATAGTAACTTTCCTCACCTTCTCTCCCAATACAATTCCATTTTTAAGAAAATTATTTTGCAGTGCTCACACCCTTATTTGGTAAACTGCAGACTTGCATGATGGGAACAACAGTGGCATGAGAGAATTTAACGCATACAAAAATGGAATATCAAATTTTTAGAAAAATATTTGTCCTCTGAAACAATGGCAAGGAACACTAAAAATAAACCCTCACCACCCTCCTCATCTTTAACCTGCTTTTATGTACAACACTACCCCCCACTCAAATTCTTGATTTTTTTCAGATACTAAGAACTCGCAGGAACAAAGGACTTCAGCTAATTTTTAGGTGAACTTTGTTTTTTGTTCCCTCCCCTTATAGGTTTTAAGATAACACTCATGAAGAGAAAACTTATTTTTCCAGCTGAAATAACTTTCCTTCATCTTCCCTTTCCAGTTCATCAAAACATACTCTCAGTAGTAGGAAGGAGAACTGACTCAAGCAGAATATCAAGAATCCAACCCTGTTGATTTGGCAGATATTTACTGAGTGATGTCCAGGCACTGGGCCCTGGGGTCAGGCGGCAACGGGCTTGGGCCCACAGCTGTACTCCTCTTGGCATGCCTTGCTCTCCCCTGATGTAGACCTTGAACAGGGGCCCAGGCGGAGTGAGGCAGAGCAGACAGCAGACTGGCCCAGGGTCCACCTGTGGAACAAAGGCCCATTCCTCTGCTGTTTCAGAACGTTAATAGACAGGTACATTCCTTGTGGGCCCAGGGTTGACATGAAAATTAGTATATGTGCAGTTCTGAAAAAACATGTTTCCACAATGGATCCATTATTGGACTTGTATCATATGGTGAACAAATGAGTGATTTATTTAAACCAAAACTGTCTGTACCTGGAATGTTCATCTGCAGAGGCCTGACGAGGTCCGGGTGCCTCAGTGGGTTCCCAGAGTACACAAACCACTCCTTGACAGTGGGGCAGGTGCTGGTGCCATCTGAGTAAAGACAGCAGGATCAGTAGATGCGCATGACTACCAACATTCATCACCAGGCTAACACGGTAACAGACCCAGCTCCACTGGGGGCCAACTGCAAGTTGGTGAATACACAGTGAGTTCTCACATCCAAGGTCACTAAGGGGGACACCTCAGGCATCCAACAGTCAGATCCCTACCCTCTGATCTCACCTCAACAAGAGCAACAACCTCTGGGTTGGGGGAGATGGCAGGATGACCCAGGTCAGTAAACGATAACGAGGGGCAGCGATCGCCACCGAGATGGCTCCTACAACGTCCCTCCTCCTGGGCTCTCACACGGCTGCACACAACACTTAGGGAAAACCAGGAGTAGGACAGCCCTCCCGTCTTTAATTCACTGTTTTGTGTAACTATCAAGACTATTATTACATTAGACAACTCAAAAAGCTAGTAGGAATAATCTATAACAGAGGCATTTCTGTATGTTGGATTGTTAACTGCCATTAGATTCAGTTTCTCTTCCATTCTATCTACTCAGTGAGCAAAGATGGGAGGTGGCTTTCCTACTCAACATGCTCACCCAGCTTGGGGTCATCAGGCTGCTGTCTCCCCAGCACCCAAACCCCCTGCCCCCCCTCCCCCAGGGCACTCAGGACCACCTCCGGGCCCTGTGGGACCTGGCTTCCTACCCGACACGGGCCCAGCCCTGTTTAGACCATCTTCAGACTCACCCCATCCAAGGCATTTTCCATGTAAATACAAGCTCTTGGGTTTTTGCTGTTTTACAATGAAAATCTGACCAGGCTGCTGGTCCTAGTTTAAGAGCCCGCAACAGCAGCCCACTGTGCCAGCCTCAAGAGTGCAGACCTGGGAGCATGCCAAGCTCCCCCACTCCCACCCCACTGCACGCCGCCTGACCTCGCACCCTCCCCTAGACCCGCACGCAGTGACTGGAGGGCCCCTGAGTCTCGCCTGGCCAGTCCCCAGGATGTGCGCTGTTGGGCTGGGTCCCCAGGGAACCTGGCTCTGGCTCCCATCCTGCTCCTCGGCTGGAGTACCTCGCATCCTCAAACTCACCATGCCTTTTCTCACCTCCTCGGCCCGGAAGCCCTTCCCTCCACGCACTCCAGGCCCGCCTCTCTCCATGCCCAGACTTCCGTGCTGTCTACCGGGGCACTTCTGCTGACACTGCACATGCTTACTTACTCCCCTCACTGCCCACCTGACTGAGCTCCTGGTACCAGAACTGAGACCTCTTCACAGTCTCAGTCCCTAGCATGAGGCCCAGGGCGGACGCCTGTTAACTCTAAGTTTAATGAACACATTAACCTAAATTTCACACACACAAAAAGAAAAAAAAAAGAAAGAAAATTCTGAGAAGTATTCTTGTAGTTGTTAAAAACAACAGCAACACCCACTCTCTATGTGATCCTCTTGGCCTACAGGTATTCATTACACTAAAGAACAGCCAGCTGAGTGAATGGTGTTTTAAGTTGCTATTTCTGAAAGGAGAGCATTCTCTCATGCCCAAAGACAGACCTCACTAGGTTTGGTACCTCACGGATGACAGCTCTCCACCAGCCAGCCAGCTGCCTCCTTAGGAAATCACTGAAACATTTACAAAACCGCATTTTATACCATCTTTCAACTGAAACTGTTCTAAACCTCTAAACCCCGGGGCCTGGGGTTGACTTCTCAGAGCTTCAGTTCTGAATAATGTTAAGAAGAAGGCACTGCTACCGTTTGTTAGACAATACCAGGTAGATTTCCTACTAAGACCTAGAGCAGTCAGTTTTTGGACAAATATTCCAAAGGCAATGCCACACACTAGTCAGTTATTCAGCTACAACCTAGGAAGAAAGAGCTGCCCACTGAGACCACCTCACCAGGAACTACAAACCCCGCTTCTGCGCAAGGGACACACCAGGCTGAAGACCAGCATGGACACCAACTTCCCCTTTCTCCAAAATTTACATCGGCACAGATAGCAAATTCCTTCTTTTCTCCAACATTTAGACCAGTGAGGGTTAAGTCCATATTAACTACAGTTTCTCCTAATTAACAAAAGAACAAAAGCTTTTGCTTTTAAGGTGACTGACTTAATTCCAATGAGTTTCAAGGACCACACAACACAGTCACAGAACAAGAGTGCACCTGCTGCTTAAAATGCAGTACCTAACAGCTACTGACTAACAGAGACTTGAATATGAAAACCTGTAATTTTTATCACATAAGAAATCAACTAACTAGCCAGAGGATGAAAGGTAAAACCGACCTGCTGACTGGAATTTTTACTCCCTAAATGAAATTTTATCGGAACTTATGGGTAAGGATGCAGGACATGACAGAGATATGAAAGATGAGTATTTTCTTGAGGTGCAGGGCAGGGAGAGGTGCTAGGTCACTATGCAGGGTCTGCAGGTTCTCTGGCACTCTGCCCACCCCCTTGTGAGCTGCTGGGCAACATGGGCATCCTCAGTGTGCCCTCACTTCCTTCCTCTGCCACGGGAGGGTAAAAGGGCAGTGCACAGTGGCTAGAAAATGTGTGAACATTTAAAAGAATAAGTTTAATAGTCTGGATAATGACTTTTCCAAATCCAAATATTCAGATGGCAGCATTTTCACTTTTAATCCAAATTGCCGCTCCTACAGACACAAACTTCCCAGTCCTTCAAAACCCAGAGCTAGCTGCAAAGTGTTACCTGAGATCCTCTTAAAATAAACAGATATTGCTGAAAATAGCCTATTCTCAGGGATACCACATAATTTCAGAGGTTTTTCTATAAAACTCCTTAAAGAAAACAGAGGCAATAAACTCTTGGACATTGGTCTAAGCAATATTGTTTTTGGATTTATCTCCTGAGGCAACAAAAGCAAAGGCAAAAAAAGCAAAAATAAACTATTGGGACGTCATCAAACTAAAAAGCTTCTGCCCGGGGCACCTGGGTGGCTCTGTTGGTCAAAGCTCCTGCCTTCAGCTCAGGTCATGATCCTGGGGTCCCAGGATCAAGACCCACATCAGGCTCCCTGCTCAGCGAGGAGTCTGCTTCTCCCTCTGCCCCTCCCCCTGCTCATGCTCTCTCTCGCTCTTGCTCTCTCTCTCAAATAAATGAATAAATCTTTAAATAAATAAAAAGCTTCTGCCCAGCGAAGGAAATCATCAAAAAAACAAAAGGTAACCTAGTGAATGGAAGAAGATATTTGCAAATGACATATCCAATAAGGGATTAGTATCCGAAATACATAAAGAACTTATACAACTCAACACCAAAAAAACAAGCAATCTGATTAAAAAATGGGCACAGGACCTGAACAGACATGTCTCCAAAGAAGACAACCAGATGGCCAACAGACACTGAAGAGGCTCAACATCACTCATCATCAGGGAAATGCAAATCAAAACCACAGTGAGATATCACCTCACACCTGTCAGAATGGCTAAAATCAACAACACACGAAACAACAGGGTGTTGGGAGGATGTGGAGAAAGGGGAACCCTCGTGCACTGTTGGTGGGAATGCAAGCTGGTGCAGCCACTCTGGAAAACAGTATGGAGGTTCCTCACAAAATTAAAAATAGAACTACCACATGTACATTTCTGGGCATTACCTGAAGAAAATGAAAACACAAATTTGAAAAGATATATGCACCCCTATGTTTGTTGCAGCATTATTTACAATAGCCAAGATATGGAAGCAGCCCAAGTGTCCACTGACTGATGGACGGATAAAGAGCTGACACACATACACACACAGGAGTATCGGTCAGCCATAAAAAAGAATGAAATTTTGCAACAACATGGATGGACCCTCAAGGGTCTTAGGCTAAGTGAAATAAGCCAGACAAATACCATATATTTTCACTTATATGCGGAATCTAAAAAACAAAACAAATAAACAGAAACATACGCATAAATACAGAGAAGAAAGTGCTGGGTGCCAGAGACAAGGGTGGTGGGACAATGGATGAAAACAGGGGAAGGTGGGGAGCCTGGGTGGCTCAGTCCGTTAAGCGTCTGCCTTCGGCTCAGGTCATGATCCCAGGGTCCTGGGTTCGAGCCCCGCATCAGGCTCCCTGCTCAGCGGGGAGCCTGCTTCTCCCTCTCCCACTCCCCCTGCTTGTACTCTCTCTCTGGCTGTGTCTCTCTGTCAAATAAATAAAATCTTTAAAAAAAAAAAAGAAAAGAAAAAGAAAATAGGGGAAGGGGATTAAGAGGTACCGACTTCCAGTCATAAAGTAACCAAGGCATGGAGATAAAAGTACAGCATAGGGAATGTAGTCAATAATACTGGAGTAGGTTTGTATGGTGACAGATGGTAACCATACTTAATATGGTGAGTGTTTTGTAATTTATACAAATGTCGAATCACCATGTTGTACACCTGAAATGAATATAATATTGTATGTCAACTATACTTCAATTAAAAATTTAAAAAATTAAAAATAAAACTGCCTAAATAGGAAAAACAAAATTTCAAAGGTTTTAACCTGGCATGCACTTTGCAACAATTTGGTTCATCTGAATTAGAATGAAATAATCTTAAATGCCTAAAAATCAAGAAAAAGAAAAGAGGAAAATTGCGTTTGGCAATTCCTAAAAGAAAAGGCTGATTTTCTCAAACTTTCAATATGCTAGGCTCTACGTTCAAAGAAGTAAAGAACTTGAGAGAAGTTCTTTGCTAGTTTAACCCCCTTCAAGCTGTAACATTTTATATAGAAAATGGAAAAATGACATAATCAAATTTGGTCTTCTGTTATTCCCAAAGGACAGACATATCGATCCACTCTGTACAATCTTCTGTATGTAACAAAGACATATTCCCCAGGAGCAAAGTTGGGAAACTGTCCACACTTGCAGCCCCTCCCCCACGAAAACTCCACCTCGCCTATGCTGACCACTCTCACTTGGCCTGGAGGGGCCGGGAGGGTCTGTGGGCGTGCTCTCGGGGCAGGCAAGGGGAGAGTGAGAAGTTGTCAATTACAACTGCTCAGTTGCTGGGATTTTTAAGTTTAATAAA